TATCACTAATAAACATAATAACATTCTCAATTGAAACATTATAAGAAGAAAGCGTTGATATAAATAGTTGAGAAATCGTTATATTATTAACTACTGCTAAATACTTTGTTGCTACTAGCTTTGTTTTATTATCATAACTAAATAAGATGTTAACAACACTACGGCTGCATACATCAGTTGTTTTATCTATTGTTACTGAAATTTTTTTTTGATAAATTTCAGATTTTAAAAGATTATATCGTTGTGAAAAAGCTAGAGATAAATATTTTTCACAAAGTTGGTTTGGCCCAACAATTGTACCGTCTATATTTATATAATTAAATATTATATTTTAATATTTCAAATTATTTAATTCATATTTAAATACTATGTCAATAGCAAAGCTTTACCATTATTGCAATATTTAATTAAAAAAGGTTTGATTTTATCAACCTTTTCTAAAGGAATATCAGCTTCTGCAAAAGCTGTAACTAAATCAATATTAATTTGAACATTTTCTGGTACAATACTGGCAATGTGGTTTGACGAGGTATTGTAGAACTTGATCTTGATGCTAATCGGTTAAGTTGTGTTTCTTTTTGATGTATATGTTTTGCAAATTGTTGATGATTCTTAAGTGTAGAGTGTTTAGTAAAATCAATGGACTTATTACAGAAGCGGCAAAAGAGCTGAGTACTACTTGTATAAAAGTCATCAGAAAATTCCCGTTGACGGGCACGTTTAATAGCAGAGATTGTTGGTGGCATGAAAAATAATTAACTGTTCGTGAGAAAAAATTTAAAAAGTAATATTATTATAACAAAAGTTTTAATAAGTTATTATAGATAGGAATAGTGCTATTACCAATTAGGCTAGCCATATTATCAATCTGCTACTATAAATAAAACTGATATATTAATGCTTCTAGGGATGGGCAATGTAATATTTATGTAAGCGATAGCGATAGCTAAAATTTTTATAAAGTAATTTAAGAGTCATCAATTACAAATAAACTATGTTACTTATTTCTATTACAAATAAACTATATATACAAAATTGTTTATATGTAAATAAAAAGATCAATCATTTGAATGCTAACATTAATATGTAACAAATTTTTTGCCTATCTCTAAACGCTTCTTATAATATCTATTTATCAAACAATTACTCCCAATTTACTAATACGAATGCATCATTGATTCAATTTCTAATAACTGTGTTGTGCTTTTTTATTCACATATTCATTAGGTGATAAATTATTCTCAATTTTAATAATCATATTAAATTAACAAGTTTTTCTTTATATCTATTCGTCAATTAATGCAAATGTTTATTTAGTTCAATTGCTAATAATTTTTCTTTATATCTATCAGGCGATAAGTTACTTTCTGATTCGTTAATGTGAATATATTACTTGATCCAATCTCTAATGACTTAGTTAAATCAGTAAGTCTCTCTTCATACCTATCCATCTAGTGATAAGTTACTACTTAATTTCCTAATATAAATGCATTATTTGGCTCAATCTCTAATGGCAATGTAAATTAGTAACAATTTTGAATACATTCTTTCAATATAGGTATTATTTAGTCCGATATTATTATATTGTTGTTAGTTATTGTAATATTGATTGTTGATTAGATGTAGTGTTGTTAGGCAAAACCTGAGGTTTCACCAAAAAAAAATTAAAATGCCAAAATGGCAAAACTAGTGAAACTGCTAAAAGGTGGCGAACTACATTAAAAAAAATTCTTAAATAGCTGCCCAATACAAAAGTATCAGAGCAGCATTTTGTCTCGAATCGATTACAGGTTCTTGAATTGTATGATCCATTGTTATAAGTTGATTTTGATGTTTAGTGATGTAATTTTTTCGATTAGTAATCGTTAGTAGCATTTAAGGGGAACGGGCTTTTTCTCAAAGAGACTAGTTTCTGTTTTTTCTGCTAATCTGACTTTGTCTAGTTTTTTCATCCTGCCCATGACCCAACCCTCTTTAGCAGATTGCACTTGCTTTAAGAACTTAGTTTAAGTGGTCTGTTGATAATAGTTATTGTTTTTTAGTTGTTTTCTTGAATTTTGACCGGTTCATTGGTCATATTGGTATTTCAGTGGCCTGTCAGGATGATAGTCACAAAGAAAAAATGTTAACTTTGAAGTAAGAGTAGCCTGTCAGGACGACAGTCATGAAGAAAATATCTTAGTTTCGAAGTAGGAATGGCTTGTTGGGACGACAGTCACGAGAAAAAATTTCTTGTTTTACTAACGAACTTAGCATTGGTTCTAGATTCTTGTATATGGCATTACGAAGAAAATTTGTTTTTCGAAATAACAAGCATGAAGAAAAAATTTGTTTGTTGTACATAACGTAGTAGTCAACAGAGAGTAAGGGTTTTTTTCAGATAGAATTATCTAGTTTTTTTCATTCCACCCTGCACGTTAGAAATAGCATTTAGAAATAAAATCCATTATGGTTTTGATCGATACTCTTGATCTCTGCACCATTAACATGTATAGCACGAAAGCGAAAGGGACAGAATACCCATAATTGTATTTCATAGTATTCATAGTATTTCATAGTTTTCTAATTCTTGTAACACCCCCTCAATAAGAGACAAAAATTATGTAAGTCGATACTGAATTTAGCATGTTATATTTATTTTATATTATATGAAGTAATTAGGGTTTTTAGATTTCTTTTACCATATATATATAAGTGCCGCCAAGGAAAAAATTTTGTGTACAGTTAGCCGTCTATGGAAAATCTATCATTATAATAGATTTTTCATAGACGGCCAACTGTACACAAAATATAATTGAAAGTTTGATAACAGATTTTCTCTTGGCAGCACTTCTATAATATTTAAAACTACAGTTTTTTTTTATTTTTGCTAATAATACTTATATATTATTAAAAATATCCAAATTATGCTAAATTTTATACTAGCAAATATAAATTATGCTAAATTCTGCTATTAGCATAGTAATGCTAACAAACTTGAATTATGCTAAATTATGCTAATAGCATAATCCTGGACACCCTATCCTTAGCCCTCTAACATCTGTTTGTTTGCTTTTCATGTTTGTTATTTACTGTGCTATGACAAATTCTTCAATTAAAATCATGTTTATAAAGACTTGTAAGAGTTATATCATGTACATAATGCACTACGGCATTGGCATTGCACGATTATAGCAAAAAATATGGTATGTGCAGTTTGTAAAATTATTCTACTACTAAAAGGTTATATTTACATACAATATATAACTAAATAAATTTCTATATATAAATTTTCCAGTTATCAGGCCTGTACCTATACAAGAGACTCAGTGGTCTATTAATAGATTTTAAAATGGGTAAAATATAACAAACCCAGATCATTTATATGTAGCTATTATAACTTAATTTCAGGTTAGTTTTATGCTTTATAACTTAGATTTTTGAGAGTTGGCTTGTAAAAAAATCTTTTGTATTGTAGGATAATTAATTTATTAATGGTATTTATTGTAAATTAAGATAATGATAAAGATATCACTCTAAAATGTTATAGTACTGTATATACCCACTACAAGTAATGAATAGTAATCATAAAGGTGATGCTTTGCGAATATAATAATTACAATATTGTTTATGAACTGTATTTTTATTTATAAAAAACTGCTGAAAATTTTATATATTAATTTTAAGCTCTGAACTTTATTTAATAGTATTCTAACAATGATACATATTTCAAATATAGGACTTTTAAACATCAAAATATTCATCACTACAAACTTCTTTAGTAATTCATTAAGACAAACTAGCTAAAGTAAGCGAATATCTAAATATAAATATTATTTAAAAATTTTTCATTATAAAATTCTTACATAAGTGATTCAGAAGTTTATGCTTTTTTTACCAGCTAAAATATTATACATGCAAAGACACTTAAGTAAAATCCAAATTCAAAAAATACAAATATGGTAAGCCTGTTGTATCTAAAGTATTCACCCTATCTAAAGTAGCTTTGGGCTAAAATTACGATTTAGTGCATGCATGAAGATCTAATTTCAGGGGCCAATTTTAGTCAGGCGCTACTTTATATATCTAAAGTGGCTACTTTAGATAAATCACTACTTTAAATGCAACAAGCCTACGTATAATTATATCAATAAATAGAAAATAAATTTCAAATTTATTACGAGGAAGTCATACACACATAGAAAAATATCCACCTTTTAATTCTTCAACTCTTTTCAATAATTTGAATATATCCAATAACAAATCTATTGACAATATAGATTTACAGTAGATAATATCACATTCTTGATATGCATTCTATTTGAATTTAAACTAGGTGGGTAAGTTCACGTAAGCCTATTTAAAAAATTTATTTGAATATTAATAGCATTTTCAAAGTTATTAAATAGTTATAACAATATATATTATGAATATAGATAAAAAACACTAGCATCCATAATTAAAGTCCAATCCAAATAAATTAAATTAAATTCTTCAAATCTGCATTTATATATATATAAAAGATTATAAATAGTTGTAAATTACAGTTAGGGATTTTTCAAAATTGTGTAATGCAAATCATTTCATTTTTTGGTAAAGATTTACAATATTGTAGTACAAATTTTGGCCAAATTTTGGCCAAATTATTGACTACATTGTTACACTTTTGTTATTTACTACATAACAGGCTTATAAAGCCTATGGAATCTACATGGATTCCTAAACTACATAGTTTTAGGAAACTTTTTGCAACAAAATTTTGAAAATTTTTTTTAAAACTGATAGTTATTTACAGAAAATAAAAAATACTTTTGTGGAGTGTGGCGACTTACTGAAGTGGTAGAGTTGTCATACCTTTAGATAGCAGGTCTAGAGTTCAAATCCCATGGATGACATTTTCAAAAAATAGCCCTGTAATATGGTTAACAGCTATTCAACAAACGGTAGGATCTAGAAATCTGTAATCTCAGTTACACCATCTAGAATAGAAGCCTTGGCATAATAAATCCAAGATACCAAAAGAACCAAAAACTTGTTTGGCAAGTCCCAAGTTGGGAGGTAGCGCAATCTTCGACAGTACTATAGGAGGACCGAATTTGGAACCAGGGACTGAGATTGGAGAACTAAGCGACCAGGTCCTTAAGTAGGAGACATACTAGCCGAACTGCCAGGCTGACAAAATTAGAGGAAAAGGACATATGCTCTGGAAGCATGTACCAAGAAAAGAAAGACCATATAGATATCTAAAGTCTAGGTAAACCAACCCTTCTGGGTTGCTGGCTAGAAGTAAGGGAGAGACTGATAAAGAATCCAGGAAAGAAGAAAAGTTTGAATATGGGTGCTGGGGTTGTGCAAACCCAAATACAAGGGCAAGAAGTATGTAACAACTACTAAAATAGGAAGGTTGTGGTTTGAGATACAGAATGAGTTATAGCAGTATCCTAAAAGATAGCTTGAGACATGAACTTGGTGACGGCAACACAACAGGTACTAGATTAGAAAGAAGTTACTGAACATGCAGGTAAATACATATGTGAGATATGTACTGCTCTGTTATGTTTATCTTGAAGATAAAGTAATCCTAGGTAGGGTGTGAAATCTATAGGTGTCACAAAATCTAGCATATGAATAGTGAGTTACATCTTGGTTAGGTAAGAAATAACGAGCCAGTTGTGATCACAGAGTTTAAATAGATAATTCCCTAGTTGGGTTGCAGGTATGGCAGCTAGTGTGGAACCTTGAGTAGACTACTTAAATAGGCAACCAA